TATTTGTATGTATATGCGTATATGCATACACCAGTAAATTGTTTCATCTCGAATGGTGAATTGAGTTATGCTGAATTCAGTAATAGGGATCCGCGACCACTAAAAACCTAAATTGAAAGAGTTAAAACAAAAATTATATATATAAAGTTAGTTAACATTAAATAATGTTACATTCACCTTCTCATACTTACCTTATTCCTATGCTTACCTTTTAAAAATAGAACTATTTTGAGTTGCTTTTATATATCTAATATAAAAATCACCACGTTGTTAAAGCATTTCTGAACATAAGTTAGATTTTTATGATTTTCGCACTTACCTTTCATTTTCATACTTACTTACTGCTTAACTTAATGTTAATTACATATATATATATGTGATTGTTAACATACGTACATATGTACATTATTACCATGTGGTGAACCCACAACTCTAACCTAACTCAACAACGTGTTGTAGTTTCACATTTTCCTGTTTTATTTTTACATAGACTTTGTTCTAATTTTCTTTCCTCCCTCTCAATCGTGTAAATTGGTGAATTTTTAAGTTAATATTTGTTGAGAGGCTGTATTATTTCATTGGCTTTACGTTTTTACTCTCGCATTGTTTTTTTGTTTTTGTTCACTTCAGTAGGAGTGATACAGTCGCGGTCAAAAAAATAAGTACGCTGAAAATAGTATAAAAAGAATTATTGTGACAACTTTTTTTTGCCGGATTGCAATTTTAATTATTTCTTTATATTATACAAAGTATAACGACCAATTAAAAATTAACAAACACTGTAAAGGGGTTTCAGCAAGTCATCATTGCCGCAAGTACACAGCAAGGAAGGCCTTCTTCGCTACGTGGGACTGCGTTGCCGACCAAAAATGTAAGTCAAGCTTCATTTTGATTCCTTTTACACTTTCATTTGTTTTGTTTTAGCATAAGTAACTAAAGCAAGCAAATATATGTAGGTATGTATGTACGTAGTATGAGCGTGAGTGCCTGATCAACTTTTCGTTTACTTTGGTCTTGTCCTATATTTCTGGATGATCAGCGCCCATATATAAATATACATACATACTTACGTATATGACCTAGTTTCTTTACGTGCTCTGAATTTTTTTTTTGTTGCTTATAAATTTGCTTATACATTTTTTTTTGCCTATGCCTACATATATACACGTACGAGTGTGCATTGAAAATAAGATTTTGGAGTTTCCCATACGCACATATATGTATATATAAATTTTGAGAGACTAGGGTCAATGACCATATAAAGCACATATTGTTGAGGTAGGTTAGGGAAATCAGCTGTATAACCATACACCCAAAAATAATATTAGCATACATTGGTTTTATTTTAAGATTTAGAGTTATATTCATAATTAGACTTACTTGCTTTGAATTTTTTTATATCGTAGAACCAAATGAGCTGAATTTAGAAAATAAAGTATTGTAGTACCATGGTTTGTTAAAGTAATTATGTTGGTCTGATTTCCTAAGGGTGGTGTGGGATACATGGGGCTTTGCTGAGATCTAAGAAGCCATGGTAGGGTGGGTTAAGAGCAGCCGCAAAAATATACGGGCGCGCTGCATGGGTTAGGGGATTCCGGGCTTTGGTGGTTATTGTGCCCAATCTAGTGGTAGTGTTTATTAGTGTGCAATTTTAGAAGAATTTCGTTAGGTCTCTGAGTCGAAGGATGTTGGCTTGGTTTGCTTTCGTGTATATGAACTCCCCCCAGACTGAAGCTCCGCTACATCCGCCAGTGCACACACCGCGACTGCAAACAAGCGTTGCAAGCCCATCCTATAGGCACGGCTGAAGGGGTACGTAACAGAAAAATGGCGCCCAACGTGGGGCCCACATATGACAAGTTGATGCGTACTTTTTAGTAGCCCTAATACATTGTGGTTTCCTTTACATGAATTCCCTCTTGGAATATTTTTGGTCCATCCGTTTTTTTTGATGCATTTTTTTTTGTAGTTTATTTTGGTTTAGTATCT